TCAAACACGGGTGCTGCTCATGCTCCGGGTTCCAGGCTGCTCAATAATGATCTTACAATCTTCATTTCTTAAACTATTTTAAAAACCACAAAGGTGTAAGATTACCAAGCTTCTCTGTAGATGGAAGTAATTATGGAGAATGAATGAAATGAAACTTTTGAACATCATTTAGTAACTAGAGACTCACCACTGATATTTCTTCTGCTTCTTCAGTTTGAGATAGAAAGGCCTGATGCCAAATTATATTTTTCTAATAAATAATATTTTTATTATAAGAATAGCACATCATCCTTACATAAAAATTTAAAAAACTAAACCATTCAGTGAAAAGCTGTATCTCTCTGTCTCAATAAAGCCTTATTTATGTTCTTGTTTTACTTTTAATCTATTTTTAATCATAAATTTGTAGTACTCTATACTACTTCAACTTGTTTTTTTCACTTAATCTCACTTTATGCACATTGTTCCATATTATTTCATACTATTTAAACATTATTTAATAATGTCAAATGATGTACAATAAACTCTTCTGTGACTCGTCAGTCTGAGGCCCAGAGGCAGAGAAGACAATAAAGGTAACAGTAGCTCCCATTTCTCACTCCAACAAATACAGGGACCTGACTTGCTCATCCAAAGATCACTATTTAACACTTTTTGAAATGTCCTTTTTTATTTTTAGTCAATTATCAGTGCTGTGCAATAAAATGACACATCTCCTAGAAGCTGCCTTTCCTTAAAAAGAATTAAAAATTAATATGACAAAGGCAGAAGAGTAGGGATTGCAGACCTTCCTGAAAGCACAAGGCTGTACATATGGGTAGAGGAACCGAGAATTAGGGAGGCCCACATTTAGAGCAAAGTGAGCGGTTCATTTAATTCAGGAGAGTACCCAGGTCAGCCAATTCGAGTTTGGCCAAGACCCTTGGCCATTACCATCTGACAGATGCTCAGTGCCTTGAATGAAATGAGTTGGTCTTGTTCCAGTTTCTAGAGAACAGGTGTGTCCATCACCCAAGGAAGGTGGAAATCTACTGCTATAGTTGGCACTAATTCACATATTTGCCGGCAGGCTCAGCAAAAAGTTCAAGAGTTCAGCGGCTGTGAAAGAGGCTGATGTGCTCTGGAACGGAGAGAAGCGCACTGATGAGCACTTGTGAAGCCACAATTCTCAATAAATGCCCACAGCCCCAGAACTCCATACCCTGACCCATGCCTGGGTGGGCACAGCCTGTAGATGGTTATGTTGAGTCTTTGAACCCTTTGGAAAACTCAGAAAGGCAACAATTGGCAGATCCTTTACCAACTAGGAAATTAAAACACATTGCTAGCTGCATTTCCAGTTTAAACCCTGCCTCTTCCATGAAATTTCCCGTTTGATCAGATGTCTTTCGGTACTCAATACCCCTATTACCCATTGGGCACACATCTAGCAGAGTTATTTAGATGATTTTGTAGCTTAGCACATCTAAACACATACCTGGGATATTGGCCTGGAATAAATGTCCTCCTTTAAAATTGTGGTATCACCTAAGAGATTCCAGAACCTTTCTGTTGCCACCTACACCCCAGAGAAGCCTCAGAGTCCCTTGAGAGAGAGCTGTGCTTATCAAAGCTAGGTCCTCAGCCTAGTTAGAATTCAAGCCTCTACCCAATCCCCTACTGCATTTCTTACTCCTCTTTCTAATCTTATCTTTCCCTGTTCCAGCCTTACCCTTTCCGTTCCAGTCAATCAATATGTCTTGCTTTCATTGTATGCTTGGCAATTCTCCACTCTGTTCCCTTGAACATATTACTACTTCTATCAGGAATATTCTCTTCCATTCTTTCAATTAATCCACTGCCATGACCTAGCTCCTCAAAGACTTGGCTTGCAACTATCTAATTAGAAGAAAAGCCTTCTTAGACCAACCATGTATTGGGTGTAGTTAGTGCTGCACTTTATATATCATGTTTGTGTCATCTCTCTGATCACCAGGTTGAACCTTCAAGGACAAGACTATGATCATTGTCTCCCCCCTCTGCGATCTAATACAATGGTCTGCACACAACAGATATTCCATAAATATTTGTGAACTGAAATAAATGTATGCCCTGGTTGGGTAGCTCAGTTGGTTAGAGTGTTGTCCTGATATGCCGAGGTTATGGGTTTGATCTCTGGCCAGGGCACATACAAGAATCAACCAATGGATGTCTAAATAAGTAGAACAACAAATTAATGTCTCTCTTTTTCTCTCAAATCAGTAAATAAAATTGAAAATAAAATGTCTAATTTTTTTAAGTGTTCAATATGTCAGCACAGAAGTGATTTTTCGTAAAATAGACACTGTATGAATTAGGAGGTAGGCCTTTGGGAAGTGATTAGGTTGTGAGAGAAGAGCCCTCGTGGGAGGGATTAGTGCCTTATAAAGAGGCTGCAGAGAGATCCCTTGCTCCTTCCAGCAGGTGAAGACACAGGGAAAAGATGGCTGGCTGTCCATGAACAGAAAGTGGGACCTCACAGACAAAGAGCAGGCCAGCATCATGATCTTGGACCTCCCAGCTTTCAGAACTGTGAGAAACAAATGTGTGTTGTTTGTTAGCCACCCACTTTGTAGTATTTTGGTTATAGAGTCCTGAATGAGTTAAGACAGTGAGTAAAAAAGGGAGAAGTAAAAGGGCTGATTAGCTATCACATCTCAACCTCTTCCACTGCAGTTCCTACCACTTCTTGACCAATTATAACAGGAGCTTCCATTCAATGAGTGTGTACTCTTTGCCAGGCACCATTCATACTTTGTCATTTTACCCTAAGATAGAAGCCATTATCTTTATTAGCATTTTGCAGAGGAAAAAAACTGAGGCTTAGATAAGTTAAGCAATTTGCTCAGAATCACACTTTAAGCAGAAAGCCATCTTCTACTGACCTATCAGGAAAGATGAAAAGAGGTGGGAAGGAAAGTGCATGAAAAAGAATCATTTGGTCACATTTTGCAGGGCAGTGTCTAGTCAAACCTTCCTGCATAACTGTGGTGGCTGCAGTGGGATGGCCCAGGTCCCTCCTTCAAAATCCAGGGAGGCACTTGCTCGCCAACAGGGGATGGGGGCTGCTGGTGGCTGACAACTAAGCCCCAACCTGGCATCTGTCTTTGGAAGGAGGGAGCAGTCTTGGCCAAGTTACAGCCTCTGTCAGGGCCAATCAGATGAAGGGGTACTAAAACCTGAGCTCCTTGCTTCACTTTAGGATATTTTTCAAGGGTCACCCTAACCTAAGCAGTCCCCATGGCATCGGCCAAGGCCTCTATGATAGTCTCCCAGCCCAGCTTCTCCAACATCACAATCGGCCTTGCTCTTTTCCTCCTTGACACTTGTTGCTGCTGAGAGCACACCCTTAAAAATCTCCTGCAGGCAAATCTCTGCCTCTGAGCCTATTTCCTGGGAACCTGCCTGAAGGCACCAAACATTAGTGGGAAAACAGAAATTGGGGTCCACGGTCTGCACTCTTACCTAAACCAGCAGTGAGATGCTGGGGGGGCACGTCCAAGTCTCCTCCTCAGCGCCAGTGTTGGGAAACCTCGTGGCTCCGAAGAAGCATGGATGTGTATCCCTCCGCCCAGAAGTTCCCTTTGCTCCAGAGGGTGGCCTTCCCTGTCTGCTCCTCCCATCACATACCAAAATCTCGACACTGTCTTTCTTCTCACCCGTCTATCCTATCAAGCTGTGCTTTCAGGAGAGAATTGGATCAACTTAGCCACATTAGGCTAAGGAAAGTTAATTAAATTCACGTATTACTGCATGAGATGGAAAATAAGCTCATGTTCATTTTAAGTTTAAACCAAGGGAAGAATATATACAGCAAAATTCTATATCTATATCTATATCTATATCTATCTATCCATCTATCTATATTTATTTATTTAAAATATATTTGAGCACCTGCTGGGCAGAGCTGGTGAGAGTTGGGTGGAAAGAGGGCGGTTTTAGGTTGGGGGTGGCCACTTCAGCCCTTTGGAACCAACCCCAATGGTTGACACCACCGACCTCTGAGACCTCCACTGTCTGTCTATGTCTCAGATGCCGTGAGGATGCACCAACTTTATGCTGATTTATGGGGCCACTAGCAATTGATGAATTACCATATTGCTACAAGAGCAGACATCTATGGGTGGTAACCCTGACTCCTCCAGGACTAAATGAAAATCTAGTCTTTTCATATGGAGTTCATTTCACTAGCAAAACAAAGAAGTAAGCAATCCATCCTTCTTTTGTGAACTCAAAAGCATGCCAAAAGTTTTTGTTCAAGGTACTAGGAGATGGTTCAGAAGAGGAGCAGCCTTTTAAATTGAGCTTTCCCTGCTGTCCAGCAGTGGCATATTTAGCTATTTTGGACAAGTTCAAGATGAAGGGCACAAAGGAAAAATTCACCAGGGAGGTTTTGCTCAGGCTGTCTACTCTCTGAATGATTCCTATGTCCACTGAAGAAGGAGAAAGATGGAAAGTACTGCTTCTAATTTTCTCATGTCTCAAAAATGAAGACAGGAGTTGCTGCCCAGCTTGTCACATATAATACATACAGCTACGAGGCAGCCGGCTCAGTGGAATCAGCAAGACACAGGAGACTCAAGGACAAAGAATTTTAGTTGTCATTTACATTCTGCTAGGAATCCCCATATAAGTAAGTCACTTAACCCTTCCTTTAACTTCATTTTTTAAAGTGAGATTAATACAGGTTCAGTTCACAGTTTGCTATCCCATATAATTAATAGAATACATGAAACTGTCTTATATTTTTCATTAATAATTCTTAAAGATAATATAAACTCTCCCTTTGGAAGTATAAGTGTAGCTTTTTATTTGGTAAATATGTTTTCATTAATAAAAATGTAAGATTTCAAATACCTAGATGAGCATTTTTAATACACACATACATGCCAGGGACTATAGACAGAAAATAGCATGAAGTCTGACTCACGATAGAATGAGAGGGGCTTTCAGGTGAAACCTGAAGCTCTGGGGCACTTTACCTTGATATGCTGCCACAGACAACCGAGCACGGGTCAGTGTTGTGCAGGTACTGAACGGCTTTGGCTGTTCCCATTAATACACTGATTCGAGTGTGCCAAGAGAGTGGGGCTGTGTTACCCTAAAAAGACAACAGTGGTTGGTTTAGTTGAACTTTCTGAGTAAAAACTGTGTGCATATTCATTGCACAGAAGTATGTCAAAATAGAAGCTGAGGGTGAAGTGGGCTGTGGTTACCAGAACGTATTTTTAATTCAAGACAGGATTTCCGCTACTCCCAATGATGGTTCTAGGCCTTTGTAACCAATGAAAATACCTAATAATGTTAATTTTAGCTTACTCAAAATATGGGCGATAAGGTAATTATGTTTAAAAGTTAATTAAATAAAATATTTGTGGCCTAGTAGTATGGGGAATTGAGAATTATCTGGTTTTATTCTCATCTTAAATGAAACTTAACCTGCTTGAAACAATTTTTAAACTTGTATTTCAAAAACATCATATGAAAAATCATGACATTGGTTCAGCCTCCTTCTCTTTAAGGAGTCTGTATCATTTTTATGTCTATTCTTTGTATTGAAGGGTGGAGCCTTGGTAGTTACACAAAAATTATCTGAGAAATAAGGGTAGTTGATGTACACTAATTTGAGATACAGAATCAATAAGGAGTAAGGACCCAGTAAGTTCTTTGGCCACCATATTGCACAACACATAGTAACCGGGTATTTATTCAGGCTTCTAAGAGTAAGAAATTACTTCGTGGAGAAGTCCTTTGCCTCCTTGGGAGAACCATCGTGGGCTGTCCCCTCATCTGAACACACACTCTGACCTCCCAGCTCTGGCCATAGGTTTCAGCAGCTCCCCAGGGGCTTCAGGGAATCCAAGCAGCAAGCAGAGTAATGGAAATGACTTACTACACAGTGCAATCTGTCAAAAAGTGATCCATTTCTCATATATGGATAAACCAGGCAGAACTTCTCATTCTCTGTAAAATATGCAGCCAACTCCAGTATGTTTGGATGTTGATATCTTGAAACAAAAGATATTTAAATCCATCAATTGCTTATTCAAATAGGAAATGAACAAGACTCCGGTTTGGGGTGGGGAATAGATCTAAAGCAGAATGTAAATTTGGCCAAGGGAGAAGTGATTTCATTGGATACATGACACAGATTTGCTTTCCAAATTGGTCAAAAGTGTTCTAACAAATGCCAGCCCCTCTTTGATTAATTGTGACCATGCAAATACATAGAAAATATCCAACTATAGGAGAGAAAATTTAAGAATGTGAAGAGTTCTTAAGATTTGGGGTGTTGGAAATTTTACAACAAATAGATGACAATATTCCATATTACCTTATTTTTATCAGCATAAACCCAATAAAACTTATTTATTAAATAAATAAAGATAATGTAACTGAAACTATACATTCCATTGCTTCAGGTAGATACATGTCAGTCACCAAAATAGAAGAATACGGAAGACTTGTTTTCATTCACATTTGTTGAGAGCTAGTATGCAGGTACTGTACGAGGCATCAGTCACACAGGTAAAAGAGATATCCAAAGTCTTCACAAAAATTCCATTGGTATCTAAAATCCATGTGACTAGTAAAGTAAGAGGATAAAATCATATCACTGGTTTTTGAATCATGGAATTCTGTGTCAGTGTATGATACATGCCTCAGGCTCCTTTCTTTACAGGCTTTATTTCTTGAATTCATGTGTCATCACTGTGAAAACCAGTGGAACACAGGTAACAGCTATGAAACACAAAACATGTGAAATTCACACATACTGTGAAATCAGCTCGATTCATCAATTATTGGTGAATATGTACTATATTGTAGGCATGCTTGGGGATATTCAAATAAATAAAGCTATTTTTAAAAAAATGGTTCTATTTATAAAGACCTACTATTTGTTTCTTCCATAGCAAAACTTTGGTATAAATCACACACATATATAGATATCTATCTATAGGGAAATATCTATCTATCTATCTATCTATCATCTAATCTCCCTTCTAGTCCTATTCCTCCTTCCTTAGGAAAAGGTGTGTGTGTGTGTGTGTGTGTGAGCACACACACATACACACATAAAGAAACTTTTATTGTTAGATATGTGAAAAACTGTGACATGAGATCACTGCACTTATTATGATTCAGACCATATCTATAAAGTGCAAAGCAATGGGCTGAAAAGGACCTGCATTGGTATATTTGGTTGCTTAAATAGCCAATCTGTGCCACTAGTTGGCTGATTCTCTGGCAGTTTAAAATAATTTACTGAAATAGAAATCTTTTGATAAGCAATTGATAGAAGACCCTGTATAGACACAGACATGGCTCTGCTCTCTCCCTCACAGAGCAGAAATGAACATTTGCTTATTTTTAATTATTACTAATCTACCAGAAAAATGATTACTTCAGAAGTTATCAAAGCATGGAACATGGAAATGTTATAGGAAATGATTGCTGTTTTGAATTCTCTGGACCCATCTCACCCATCTTTTCACTAAAAAGTTTTAAGTCAGTGGGATTTTGGATTACATAGCTCTGAAGATCAGCAGGTCAGGTACCTTTTGAAATAAATTCAGTAAATATTTTTGAGTGCCCCTGCAGATAAAACATGATGCAAGCTACAGTGATGAGGAAGAGCAGACAGACTTGAACAACAAACAAACCTGGGTTTTAGTCTCTGGTTTTCTTTCATCAGCTGTGTAAATGTGAACAAGCTATCTGGTCTCTACGATTTGAATTGTGCCCCACCCCATCTATATGTTGAAAGCAGAACCCCCAGTGTGATGATGTTTCATAATGATGCCTTTGGGAGGTAATTAGGGTTAGATGAGGTCATGAGGGTGGAGTCTTCATGATGGAATTAGTGCCCTTATGAGGAGAAACACCAAAGAGTTTGCTCCCTCTCTTCGCCACTTGAGGACAAAACAAGAAGGCAGTCATCTGCAAGCCAGGAAGAGAGTCCTCACAAGAATTAAATCTGCCTTGATCTTGGACATCTCAGACTCCAGAACTGTGAGAAATAAATTTTGGCTGTTTAAGCCAGCCAGTCTATGGAAGTAGGTAAAAAACCTACTTCCTGAGATTCTTATGAAAATTAAAGTTTAAACCTTTAGCCAAATCCCAGATCCTCAGAAATTATTAGGTTCTTTCCCCTTTCTTGAAGAAGAAGGAAAAAAAAAAGAATCAGAAGCCACATTCTAAGATGTTTCCAACTCTATTCAAAGCACAAGAATTAAGCAGTTCCCTTGATATTAAAAAAATAAAAAACAAAAAATCCATCCTCAGGTCTCAGCTTAGATGTTACTTTTTCCAAGAAGCTTACTCTGTGGCTCATCCCCACCCCCCTTCCAAGGTACCATTTCCTGTTTCTGCAGTGTTCTGTACTTCCTCATCTTATCACTTAATTTACCGAAATTGCCTATTTACTTATGCACTTCTCTCCTGATCCCACTCCAAACATCTCAGATACTATGTTCTGAAAGGTGAAAGCTGCATCTGACTTATTTATAAGTAAATCTCTGAGACCAGGGAGACTGAAGATGATTTAGGAAATAAATTGGATCTTGTAAAAAAAATGGGACCTATCTTTATTTCTTCATCTGTAAAACAGGGATAATAGCAGTACTTACCTAATAGGTAAGTTCATTACCACATAGGTAATCCTGTGATTACCAGATAGGATTAAAGAATTAATACATGTAAAGTTCTTGGTAAATAAATATTAGCAATATAAATAATAATGATGACACATGAGGAATATTCAACATCAGTTGTTAATTCTCTTTAAATTAATGCATAAATACCTTAACAGAATAAATCCAAATGAATCAGATATATGAATGTAAAAAATAAAATCATAAAAGTATTGGGAAAAAATGGCAATATTATTTTATAAACTATCAGTGGGGGAGGCCTTTCAAACTTTGATATAAAACCCAGACTTTATAAAGGAAAATATAGTTGAAAATATTAAATTCAACTACATGAAAACCATTTCCACATGGTGAAAACTAGAATAAGCAAAGACACATGGCATAAAAAATTACTTGTATCTCATAACATAAAACAGGAGTAATTTTCTCTAATATATAAAATGATCTTATAAACCATTAAGAAAAGTACACAACAGTCCAATAAAAATGGGGAAAAAGATGTTATATTTCATATCTCTTAATATATAAAAAGATTCACTCATAATATACAAAGGAACTTAAACTACTCTGAGAAACTATTTCTACCTAGCACACTGGCAAAAATTAAAAGTTAAGAATAAATGCTATGCCCTGGCTGGTATGGCTCGGTGGATTGAGCACTGGCCTGTGAACCAAAGGGTTGCCAGTCCGATTCCCAGTCAGGGCACACGCCTGGGTTGTGGGCCAGGTCCCCAGTTGGGGGCTCACGAGAGACAACCACACATTGATGTTCCTCTCCCTCTCTTTCTCCTTCCCTTCCCTTCTCTCTAAGAGTAAATACATAAAATCTTAAAAAAAAGAATAAACGCTATGTTGGCAAGAATGGGGAACCAAGCGCTCTTACATATGGCTGGTATAAGTATAACTTGGTGTAACTTCTAGTGAAGGACAATTTGGTAATACGTCATACATATCACCAAATTATTGACCCTATAATTTTATTTATATAAATTTATCTTAGATATATTCAAACAGGTATGAAATAACATATGTAAAGGTTTTCTTGTTGCAGCATTATTTTTCAATAAAAGATAAAATAAAAACCCATCAGTAAAGGAATGTTTAATTAAATTACAGTAGAGCACACAATGGAATACCAAAAAGAGCAAAATGAACAAAGTGTGCAACCTCTTGTGGGAAAAGAGGGAAAATAGAAGACTAAAGACATGAATGGTTACATAGAAACTCTCTCCAGAAAGGTGTACGAGGCATCAACAATGTGATTGCCTTTGGGAAAATCAGCTGTGTGGTTGGATGATAATAGTGGAAGAAATTGTTTTTTTGTTCATCCTTTTGCACTTTTGGAATTTTGAAATGTTTCAACTTATTCATAAGCAAATAAATAAAGCTTAAATATAAAAACTTTATTGTAATTTTGGCTTCAGTTTTCCATTGATTAAATGACATATATTAAGTTTTTAGAATTAACCTTTAATGTTTTGATTTCTGGGCCTGGGTATAAGAGCAGAAGGATTGATACCCCTCCCCCCAGTCACATATTGGTTTAGAAAACATTGCAAAAGAACATTTTCTATTTGTGAAGGGTGATGAGTGAACTCTTTAGGGTTAGGGGCCTTCGATGAGGTAGGCTGCACAGCTGCATGTATGAATATGTATAAAAATGAAGTAATTTTAGTTTGTCCCCAAGGACTCTCAGGCTCACAAACAAATTCCCAGAAAATAATATGTGTATCAAAACACTTGATTTCTTTGTCTAAAACTCTTCTTTGAGGACGGTTTTATGGACAAAACAGTTTCTTGACTGGAATGTCTCTAAGGAAGGAGGAAATGGTAAAATATATACAATTCTAAAGTTCTAAGAATTATTTTATACTCAGCCATGTTAGTCACACACGATTTAACCTACTTCCTCATGACAGCTTCTTGTTAAAATGTTCAAATGAATTATGTAAATGGCCTATTTTAAAATGTACATTCTAAGAAATATACTTAAAACAAATGTCAGATATTTACCCAAAGTTCTAATATCACATTTATTAAATGCCAACCATGCCAAGCTCCATGCTGTAGAATCAAAGATGAACAAAAAGATGTAAACCAGGCACAAAGGAAAAAATTCCAGGCAAAATATACTTACAGTAGTAGAACTTCGAGCTCAGATAAAAACCTCTTCCATTGTTTCTTGCACTGCATTTTTTTCTCCTAAATATCATACAGAAAAACAAGAAAAAAATCAAGGAAAGGGTGTCTATCTCTAGGATTCTTAGCCTAGGTCCTATAGTCTTCCTAAAATTAGATGAACTTTTTGGTATAAATGCAAAGACACATTTTTCTGAGAAGAGGATCCTTAGATTTAATCAGCTTTTCAAACATCTGTTAACCCCAAACAGATTAAGAACCAAGCTATTAAATGAAAAGTTTTCATGCAATGTACCACATTGCCACATTTTATATTCAAATTCTTTCATCTTTTTCATAAATTAAAAAATATATGTATTCAAAGAAAATCTCGTGACACTTAGAAATCCCCCCTTGATCTCATAAAGAATCCGATTTGTGATTGCTGTATTCTGGTTAAAACTGATTTCACTAGTTTGGCATTTGTGACTTGGGTCGTTTGAATTATGATGGTTCAAGTTCACCTCTGTATTGATTTTGAAAAGATGGATTTATGAAGCAAATAAAAATATAACTCTTCAAAGATGCTTCAGAAGCTAGCCTTGTGCCTGGCAAATATTTACTGAATAAATTAATGAGTTCAATGACATTGTACTGAGCACTTGCTCTGTACCTGGTACTGTTGTCAGCGGCTTCATACACCCCAGGTCATTGCATGTCTGAATCTCAGGTTCCTAACTTTTACATAAAAGAGTTAAATTAAGTGTGCTCCTCCATCCCATTAGCTGTAAGTTTCTATCATTTATAAATGCTAGACAGGGCAGAGTTTTCAGAGCTCTCTCTCCTCAGGAATAAAGAGGGAGAAATCCAGTAACATTGGAAGCTATTTTCCAAGTTAATTCAGGAAGTCAGAAACAATAAACTAGGCTGACAAATCATACTCAAAGACACCTTTATGAGAATTTATATGAAAAAAACATTGTGGTGTGATCCAAGTGGATTGGGTCCCAGGCCTACTTCTAAAACTATTTGTGACTTTTTGTCACTTAACCTCAGGGTCATGATTTTCTTAATCTGAAAAATGAAAGGGTTTGTTTCTGTGTTCATGTGAGGCTAGTATTCTTGCTGTTCAAAGTGTAGTGTGTGCACGAGGAATGTCAGCTTCACCCAGATTTGGTGAGAAATGCTTGATTTCAGATCCCTGCCCAGATGTGCCTAATCAGAATTGTCAGCTCTCCAGGTGTTGGAGGCACCTGTTTAACACATCTAGTACATTTCCCTGCTTCAGTCCCTCTACAAAAGGCTATTAAAGTTAATGTCCAATTTTACAGAACCACCTTTAAAAAAAAGGCTCAAATGCTCTGTGGCTCAAGCTTCATTAGATTATCTCATCTTTCTGATAAATGTGTGTGTGGGTGTGTTTGTATGAGTGTGTGTAGGACTGCACAGTCTCTAGTTCTTGGTACCTTTATCACCTCCTGTCTGCTTACTCCTAGAGCTCAGCAGCTAAATTCATTAAAAAGTCATTTGTCATTCATTTCATTGTTCAACAAACATTTATTGAGTAATTACTATGGATTAGGCCCTGTAATGAGGCACTGGATACAAAGTTAAATAAGAACCCTTTAAAGGAAATCTTCTAGTCTATTGGGAGACAAGGATGAGGAAATCAACACTATGATATAATGCTGTGGTGCTGTGACTGCACATAAGGAGGGTCAGCAAAACCATGCTGGAGGGAGCAGAGGCAATCAGAGAAATAATTGTCTCTGGGTCAGGAAGGGAAGGAGTTCTAGAAGCAAAGACATCTCATCCTGAAGCCAGAGTCCCGGAAAGAAAACCCACAAAGGGAAGTGTGAGTTGGTGGTAGCTGCAGAGGGAAGAGGAAGGTCACGGATGGAGCCTTTGGGGAAGTGGCTGGGGCACAACCGTAAGAGAATGTACTAATGGGGCCAGAGATGCAATGGCCCCAAGAAACAGGCTTTGGTTAGGCCACCGCCAGAGTAAACACATTCTCTTTGTTAAGTGGTTTTACCAGTAGATGGTTTCATTTCTTTATTAGATGATTCATCTTATCAGAAATTTTGAGATGTCTAGAATTAGTGGTCAACATGTAATTTGAGGAAATGGAGAAATTGGGCTAACATTTTTTTTTAAACTCCCTGTAATCTCAGCTGCAAAGTAGGATTCACTTGAGGCCCTCCCTCCTTCTCCCTTCTTTCCCCAGCCCTATCTACCAGATCAGTATTTTGGGTGCATTTCATATCACCTCTCAGATATACCTTCTCCTCACCACTCCCACTGCCTCTGCCCTGCCTCACAGCAGGGGTTCTCAACACAGGCTACCTATGAACCACCTGGGAAGCTCTTTAAAAACACTGATGCCTGCCACCACTGCCACTTCTCTGACCTAACCAGACACTCAGGGGCTCCCTTTTTAAAAGCTCCCAGCGTGATTCTAATATTAGGGTTGAGAAAGTTGGTTTAAGGTCTATCCATTTCTTAACTTACACATCTGAAATATCCCTCTACCAGGTCTTTGCAGCTCCAGTCTAAGCTCTTGCCCCCTTTACTTTACTCCAATGCTCCTGCCCACTTCCAGCCCTTCCTCTAACCTGTAACCCAAGTTCTATTTTAAAAACATAAATCCAGTCTTTTCACTCTCCCTCTTAAAAATCATCCATGAACTTAACCTGTCTTTCCAGTATCATCTTCTGCCACTACCCTTCCACCCCCACACTAACCTCTACTCCACTGAAGGATCTATTATTAATGAGTAAGACGTCTGCTTTCCTGCCTGCACCTCCAGGCCTTTGCACCTGCTGTTTATTTCACCACAAAAATGCTCCCCCTCCCTCACTGCCTGCTAAAATCCTACTCACCCTTCAAAATCCAGCTGAAAGTTCACTTCCTTTCATCCACTTTCCCATTTGTTAACTGTAGAACTGTTTATTGAGTGGTTACTCTGTGTCAGGCTCTCTTCTGGGTGCTGGATGCACCCCTCTCTAGTTATTTTATGGGTTCCCAGGATCTTTTGGACAAATCTTTGCTAAAGAAGGACTTCCGGCAAGATGGAGGAATAGGTGGACGCACCGTACCTCCTCGCACAACCAAGATTAGAACAACAATAAAATACAGTCAGCATAACACCCAGAACCGACAGGGGATTCATCTGAATGGAAGTCGGACAGCCAAGAAGTTGAAGTAGACCCGTACATCCAGACTGGTAGGAGACAACGAGCCGAGCGGGCGCGGGGCTGGCGCGGGTCGGCAGCGCACGGAGGTCGGGGGAAATTTGGCGCGGAATCGGGCGCGACAGCCATCGGGCGCAGGAACGCAGCGGTGGACCCTGAGTACGCAAGCTGCGGCTGCCGGACCCAGTGGGGCAGCGATTGTGGACCAGGGCAGAGCTCGCAGCCCAGGAGCCCCGGGAAAGGTCTGGGCCCAGGAGAATTGAACTGCCGCCATTGATTCCCTCCCGCCCCCGCCCCCACCCCCACATATAACGTCACAATCTAGCGACTGGGGCGCCCAGCCCCGGTGAACACCTAAGGCTCCACCCCCCACCTTAACAAGAGCAACCAGTCCGGAAAGGAGAGAGACAGGGAAAGACATAAGACATGTGTGCAACAGAGCAGATCAGTCCCCCAGGACTCATCCTTTTGAGCGACCAAGAAATAGCCAATTTATCAGATGCACAGTTCAAAACGCTGGTGATTAGAAAGCTCACGGAATTGGTTGATTTTGGGCGCAATTTAGATGAAAGGATGCAGGTTACCATAAAAGAGATGCAGGAAGATATGCGGAGGAGAGCCAATAGAGAAAGGAAGGAATCTGAGTCTCAAAACAATACAGTGGACCAGAAGGAAGATAGAATCAACCAAGCAGGAAAGCATGATGAAATAAGAATTAAAAAAAATCGAGGAGAGCCTTGGGAACATCCAGGACACCTTTAAACGTTCCAACATTCGAATTATAGGGGGTACCAGAAGGGGAGGAGCAACAAGTGGAAAAGTTATTTGAACAAATAATAAAGGAGAACTTCCCCATTCTGGCAAAGGAAACAGTCTTCCAAGAAATCCAAGAAGCTCAGAGAGCCCCAAAGAAGTTGGACCCAAGAAGAAACACACCAAGGCACATCATAATTACATTAGCCAAGGTAAAAACGAAGGAGAGAATCCTAGAAGCAGCAAGAGATAAGGGGACAGTAACCTACAAAGGAGTTCCCATCAGACTGTCAGCTGATTTCTCCAAAGAGACCTTACAGGCAAGAAGGGGCTGGAAAGAAATATTCCAAGTCATGAAAGACAAGGACCTACATCCCAGATTGCTCTATCCAGCAAAGCTGTCATTTAGAATGGAAGGGAAGATAAAGTGCTTTTCAGATAAGGTCAAATTAAAGGAGTTCATCATCACCAAGCCTTTATTTTATGAAATGCTAAAGGGACTTATCTAAGAAAAGAAGATAAAGAAAAAGACATGTATAGTAAAAGGACAGCAAACTCACAATTATTAACAATTACACCTAAAGCAAAACCAAAAGAAACTAAGTAAACAACTAGAACAGGAACAGAACCACAGAAATGGAGGGCACATGGAGGGCTAGCAACAGGGGGGGGGGTGGGGGGGGAGGGGGGGAAAGGTATAGAGAATAAGTAGCATAGAATGTAGGTTGAAAATAGATAGGGGGAGGGCAAGAATAGTACGGGAAAGGTAGAAGCTAAAGAACTCATAAGAATTGCACATGGAAGTGAACTAAAGGGGGGGGAATGTGGGTGGGAGAGGGGGTACAGGGTGGAGGGGAGGGAAGGGGGGAAAAGGGACAAATGTAATAGCATAATCAATAAATTAAAAAAAATAATTAAAGAAAAAAAATCTTTGCTAAAGAACTTCTCACACTGCAATTAATTTTTGCCAGCTGTTTCTGCCTGTAAGGCTGTGAGCAACTTGAGGATATGGCTTATTCATCTCTGCATGCTCAGTACCCAACCCATACAGGAATTTAGAAAATGTTTATTAATTGTTGCCTGACAGTGAAGGACATGAAGAGCAGCTCTCTCAGGTGTATGCTGTGTACTTATCTCTTCCTGACTCCTGAGTTGGATTCCTCCACACCCTTTCTGCTTTACTGGCTGCCATCACTCAGCTGTCTCCCAATCTCCTGCTCTGACCATTGCCTTGCTGCTCTTGCTTGCACTCCTGCACTCCTGAACTGTGACGGCAGAGAATTCATAAAGTAACACAGGATGCCAGTCTGTGGCTTGGCCTGTGAGGCTGCCCAGAAGGGATACTTCCGACCCTAAAAAAACAAACGTGAATGAACACTGGAGCGTCAGGCACAATCTGACCATCTGAAGCAAAGTCCCAAAGGCCCTGCAAGACTTTTCAGAAAAGTTTCTCATGCAGTATATCTGGGGATGGGAAGGATTTAACTTCCACATTCCTACAAGACAGGCATTCATTTCCCAGTCACCAGAGGTCACATATCTTATTTTATTTATGAAATTTTATTTTCAAACACACATCTTCTCAATCTTGATGAAAACATGACACATTCTAATATGAAATATCATACTTTTTGGACTATAAGATGCACTCCCCCCAAAATTTGGGAGGAAAAGGGGTGTGTGTCTCGTAGTCCGAATGTAGCTTACCTGGCTCACTGTGTGGGGGTATGGGGGGCGGCAGCCTATGTTGTTTATGTTACTAAATATTTTACCACATTTTTTGCTTCAAATTTTTTTTTCCTCCTCTAAAACCTAGGTGCATCTTATGGTCCAGTGTATATTATAGTCCTAAAAATACAGTATTAGCAAATAAATAGAATTAATATCCTGTGATATTAATTCTTTCCATACCTGTTTAAATAACTTAATGGCATAGGTTTGGTTTTGGATCTCCACTCTGTATACCTCAAAAATCTCCCCTTCTCCAATTAGGAAGTCTTTGTGGAAGTTGTTGGTTCCTTCTATGATGTTTTGAAAACTGATAGAGGATTTAAGCAACATTCCTTAGGAAGGAAAGTAGGAAGAAGATAAGTTACCTTTTCCTTTTTTTAAGAGTCAATGCCACCATTATAAAGAATCAGGATTTCCACATTAGAAACACATCAGAGACCAGAGTCAGTCGGGTGAGGCCTACCACGTGCTCTCTGCCCCCCCCCCCCATTTCAGAGCAGATGGCCTTTTAGATATTTCCATAATAGCACAGTGATTCTATCACCTTTCCTAAAAGATTAGCCAAAAAGCATAGTTGGGGGAACTTTTCCAAGATTCTGTTTCTTTGTCATTAGAACTATAAACCTAAAACCAGTAAACACACATACACACACACCTTTATTAGTGGAAATCTTGATATGTATGACTAAACAATATTTTCTAAGAACGACTGATGGAAACATATTTCATAAGCCAAATATTCTAAATGCCTAATTTACTTGGAGTAAATTAGGAAGACGCTAAAGTAGAGATGGGGAGGAAACATTGAAAAGATAATCAAATACAAATTCAAAGGCAAAAGCTTGGCTAAATCCTTCAGAACCCAATTTTGGTACTATTTCCACATTTAGTGTTTGATTTAGACCTTATTGCTAAATCTTAAAGGACCAAATTTTTCTAAATCTCTTTTGAACCAAAGAAGCATCAGCTCTAGTAGCAAAGTTTAGACAAGGGAGCCTTAGATAGCCATTAAATTTTATCAGAATGATTGCTAGCTAAGACAAATTTATTCTCTCTGCTAATAAAGTAGGAAAGTCGATGTACAAAATAACTGGATTTTCATAGTGACTTTCTGAATTGCTCTATGAACATCTCTAAAAATCTCTGAAAATGCTATGAAAATTTCTAAAACTATATAGAACCCAATTTAATTTTTAAATGCTTTCCTATAACACATGAAAACAGCAAATTTCACTAACAGAAAATAAGAAATTCCCCTGAGACCTCAATTGGCCAATAGATTTTAAATATCACAATAATATACCATCCATCAGAACTGGCTCAGTCAAAATTACAAATATTTTGATATCTATAAAAATTTTTATTCTGAATCCACGTATTAATGAACAGTTAACATATTTATTAGATATTTCCCCCTTCAATTGACTTAATTGAAAGAATGATTTAAAAGAAATTGGGGCCCTGGCTGGTGTAGCCCAGTGGATTAAACACTGACCTGCGAACCAAAGGGTTGCAGGTTTGATTCCCAGTCAGGGCACATGCTCAGGTTGCAGGCCAGGTCCCTGGTGGGGGGTGGATAAGAGGCAACCACACATTGATGCTTCTCTCCTTTTTCCTTCCTTTCCCTCTCTCTAAAAATAAATAAATAAAATCTTTAAAAAGAAAAAGAAAGAAATTGGGGTGTTTGGGGGGTTTTTTGTTTTACCTTTTTTATTATCTTCAGGAATAAGAACATTATCCACTGTGACATTGGCTGTTTCCTAAGAGAAGAAAAACATGTTATAGAAATTCAGTTTCATAAGTGTAGGTAGAACAGAACCTCAGCAAAATCCAAAGCTCCCCCTGGACTACACTGTTCAACAGAGTGAAATCTAACTTAGAGGAAAATGAGTAGAAAGCAAAATTATTTTATTTTATTCAATAGTATTCATTGCCTATCTATATTTAAGGCTTCCAGGCCAACTGTGAAAACTCAAGTGTCAACGTCATAGTCAGTGACAGTCAATTTTAAATGACTTCTATTGCTATAAAAATGATCACTGCTAATTTGCTTTAATAAAAGCTAATAGCAATATGCAAAACACCAGTTAGAACAGGAAAATGAAAAGTTGAGTTAAGACAAATGCATAACTCACAGTACCCTTAATAGTTTTAAGTCTCATCTCTAACAGATCACTGGAAGCAGAAAGTTCTTAACTCTTCAAACATTTATGAATCTCTAATTTTCTGAATCCTCAAATAAGCAAAGAATAGATGGCAAGAGAGCTAAGGCTTTTCTGCTTTTAAATTAGTACCTACAAGTCCAGCATTTTATGTTTGATAATTTCATTCCTATGCTCAATTACATATGCAACAGAGTTCAAGGGCCATTAACTGTGCATACACACTCTACCTTGGAGAACATGTTTGGAAATTCATCTCCCTGATGTCTCGGTTCTGAGGGATTCAAAGCTGCTCCTGAAAGAAATAAGGGGAGCTAGATAAAACAATGAAATTATGTTCCTAATAAACTTGGTTTTGATCCTTTCTTGGTTTTGATCCTTTCTTGGTTTTGATCCATATGGTTTTGGGCCATATGAATTTAGACTGTGAATATAAACACTTTGATAGCAACATTCATTTCTAAAGCTCAGTTTCATTCCCGTTGAATAGTTACAAATTTGCATCTGAATAGCATTCTAATGATCAAATATTATGCAAACATACTTTAGTTCACTTAAAACATGAATATCTACCTTACACTATTGTTAGACATTATTAAAGATATTATAGTATAAAGTAAAAAATTGAAAGGAAAAAGGAACATTATCTTTTGCATATATATTTTAATTTTTTTCAATAATGGGGTTATATTTCCCCGGGTTAGTTTATTTTATATCCTACCTTGTGTTATAAGGTATTAGAGGTATGTATGTGTGTGCATGTTTGTGTGTGAATTAAACACTAAACATCTACTGCCACTCCCCAATTTTATTTTATTTTAAATTTAATCTTTATTATATATTTTTTACATTACATTTTGTCCATTACATCTCCCTCCTACCAGCAATCAACCACATGGCTGTCGATCTCCATGAGTCCTCTTTCATTTTGCTCAATCCCTCCACCCACTAACTTCCCCACCCCCAACTAGCTGTCATCTGCTCTCCATCTATGAATCTGTCTGTTTCGATTATTAGTTCAGTCTGTTCATTAGATTCCACATATGAGTGAAATTATATGGTATTTGTCTTTCTCTGACTGGCTTATTTCACTTAGCATAATGTTCACCAGATCCATCCATACTCTTGCAAAGGGTAAAATTTTCTTCTTCTTCACAGCCAAGTAGTATTTTATTGTGTAAATGTACCATAGTTGTTTTATCCACTCATGTATTGATAGGCACTTAGGCTGCTTCCATTTCTTGGCAATTGTAAATAATGCTGCAATGAACATAGATAGGGGTGCTCATATTCTTTTGAATTAGTGTTTCAGGTTCCTTTGGATATATTCCCAGAAGTGGTTTTGCTGGGTCAAATGCAGTTCCATTTCAATTTTTTGAGGTATCTCCATACTGCTTTCCACGGTGGCTGCACCAGTCTGCATTCCCACCAACAGTGCACTAAGGTTCCCTTTTCTACACATCCTTCTCGCCAGCACTTGTTGTTTGTTGATTTATTAATGATAGCCATTCTGACCAGTATGAGATGGCATCTCACTGTGGCTTTAACTTGTATTTCTTTGATGATTAGTGATGTTGAGAATCTTTTCATGTGTCTATTGGCCATCTGTATGTCCTCTTTGAAGGACTGTCTATGCAGGTGCTTTGCCAATTTTGTAATTGGGTTGTTTGCTTTTTTCCTATTGAGTTTTGTAAGTACTTTGAAAATTTTGGATATTAACTCCTTTCTCCCATTCTGTGGGTTGTCTTTTCATTTTGTTTTGACAATTTCCTTTGCTGTGCAAAACTGTTTAGTTTGATGTAGTCCCATTTGTTTTTTTTTTTTCCCTTGCGTGGGGAGACATGCCCACTAAAAATGTCTGAGATTTTGCTGCCTATGTTTTCTTCTAGAATTTTTATGGTTTCAGGTCTAACATTTAATGTAACATTTGATACATTTTGAATTTATTCTTGTGTGTGGTGTAAGAAGGTAGTCTAGTTTCATTTTTCTGTACATATCTGCCCAATTTTCCCAACACCATTTATTAAATAAAATATCTTTAGCCCATTGCATGTGCTTGCTGCCTCTGTCAAATATTAATTGACAATGAAGGTGTGGGTTTATTTTCAGGCTCTTGATTCTGTTCCATTGATCTATGTGTCTGTTTTTATGCCAGTATCAGACTGTTTTGAATACTATGGCCTTATAGTATAATTTGATAATACATAGCATGATTCCTTCAACTATGTTCTTCTTTCTCAGGATTGCTGTTGCTATGCAGGGTCTTTGTGGGCCATATGAATTTTTGAAATATTTGTTCCAGTTCTATGAAATATGTCATTGGAATCTTCATAGGAATTACATTGAATCTATAGATTGCTTTGGGTAGTATGCATATTTTAATGATGTTAATTCTTCTTATCCATGAACACGGTATGTACTTCCACTTATTTGTATCTTCTACAATTTCTTTCTTCAGTGTCTTATAACTTTCTGAGTACAGGCCTTATACATTCTTAGTTAAGTTTATTCCTAGGAATTTTATTCTTCTTGAAGCTATTGTGAAGGGGATTGTTTTCTTGATTTCCATTTCTATTAGTTCATTATTGGCATACAAAAATGCAACTGACTTCTGGATATTAATTTTGTATCCTGCTAATTTGATGAATTCGATGATCAGTTCTAGGAATTTCTTAGTGGAATCTTTGGCATTTTCAATGTACAGAATCATGTCATCTGCAAATAAAGACAGTTTTACTACTTCCTTTCAAATTTGGATGCCTTTTATTTCTCCTTCTTGTCTGACTGCTGTGGCTAGGACTTCCAATACTATGTTGCATAAGAGAGGTGAAAGTGGAACTCTCTGTCTTGTTCCCAATCTTAAGGGGAAAACTTGTAGTTTTTATCCATTGAGCATGATGCTGGCAGTGGATTCATCATATGTGGCCTTTATTATATTTAGGTATGTTCCCTGTAATCCCACTTCGCTGAGTTTTTATCATAAATGGATACTGGATTTTATCAAATGCTTTTTCTGCATCTATTGATATGATGATGTGGTTTTTAGCCTTCATTTTTTTATGTGATGAATCACATTTACTAATTTGTAAATGTTGTACCAAACCTGGATCCCTGGAATAAATTCTACTTGATTGTGGCACATGATCTTTTTGATGTATTGCTGTATTTGGTTTGCTAATACTTTGCTGAGGATTTTAGCATCTTTGCTCATCAGGGATATTTGTTTATAATTTTCTTTCTTTGTTGTCTTTATCTGGTTTTGCAATTAGGATAACTCTCCCTCACAAAATAAGCTTGGGAGTCTCCCTCCTCTTGAATGTTATGAAATAGTTTGAGGAACAGAGGTGTTACTTCTCAGAATGTTTGGTAAAATTCTCCTGTAAAGTAATCCAGTCCAGGGCTTTCATTTGTTTGGCGTTTTTTGATTACTGCTTCAGTTTCCCTAGGTGTAATCTGTCTATTTAGAATCTCTGATTCTTCCTGATTTAGTTTTGGAAGACTGAATGTTTCTAGGAATTTATCCATTTCATCCAGGATCTTCAGTTTGTTGGTATATAGTTCTTCATAATATTTTCTTACAATCTTATTTATTTCTTTGGTGTCAGTTGTTATTTCTTCTCTTTCATTTCTGATTTTACTTATTTGGATTTTTTCTGTTTTTTTCTTGATGAGTCTGGGTAAAGGTTTGTCAATCTTGTTTAGCTTTCCAAAGAGCCAGCTCTTAGATTTATTGATCTTTTGTATTATTTATTTAGGCTCCATTTCATACATTTCTACTCTGCTTTTTATTATTGCCTTTGGGCAATTACCTTCTACTTACTTTGGGCTTTGTTTTTCTTTTTCAAGTTCCTTGATGTTTGAAATTATATTGTTTATTTGAGCTTTTTCCTTCTTTCTTTTTTTTTTTTTTGAGATAGGCCTGTAATGCTATGAATTTCCCTCTTAGGGTTTTCTCGCTGTGTCCCACAGATTTTGGATTGTTGTGTCCTCATTTTCATTTCTTTCAATGTATCTTTTGATTTCTTCTTTAATCTCATTGTTGACCCATTCATTGTTTAATAACATGTTATTTAGCTTTTATGTCTTTATGTGTTTTTCAGCATTCTTGTGATCAATTTTTAGTTTCATAGCATTGTGGTCCAAGAAGATGCTTGATATGATTCCAATCTTCTTAAATTTATTGAGACTTGTGTTGTGTCTTAACATGTGGTCTATCCTAGAAAATGGTCCATGTGTACTTGAAACATATATATATTCTGCTGTTTTGGGGTGAAATCCTCTGAAGATATCAATGAAATCCTTTTGATCTACTGTGACATTTAAGGCTGCTGTCTCCTTGTTGGTTTTCTGCCTGGAAGATCTATCCATGGAAGTCAATGGTGTGTTAAAACCCTTGACTAGGAATGTATTTGTCAGTCTTTCATGTTATGTCCATCATAATTTGCTTTACATATTTAGATGCTCCTATGTTGGGTGTGTACATGTTTACTAGTGTTATAGCCTCTTTTTGGATAGTTCCCTTTATCATTATGTAGTGTTCTTCTTTGTGCCTTAGTTTTAAAATCTATTTCGTCAGATGTAAGAACTGCTACCCCAGCTTTTTTTCTTTTCTATTTGCATGAAGTGACTTTTTCCATCCCTTTACTTTTAGTCTATGTGTATCTTTTGATCTGAGATGGGTCTCTTTGGAGGCAGCATATATATAGGTCTTGTTTTCTTACCCATTTGGCTACCCTATGTCTTTGGTTGGAGCACTTAAGCCATTTACATTTGAGGTGATTATTGATAGACATATATATAGTACCATTTTATTGTTAGACTGTTTTCCTCGGTTTTATTTTCCTCTTTTTCTTCTTCTTCTTAAAGCAAGCCCTTTAACATTTGTTGTGGTGCTGGTTTGATGTTAAACTCCTTTAGCTTTTTCCCCTCTGGGAAGCTCCTTGTTTCTCCTTGCGATTCCCCAATTTTAGACGATAACTTCTCTCTATTACAGTTCTGCTGAACTAAGGTAGTCTATGTGGCTTCTTTTTAAAATTATTATTATTATTATTTTAATTGTTCAAGTACAGTTTTCTACCTTTTATTCCCATCCCAGCCCACCCCCCAAGTTCTCTCCACCTCCCTCCTGTTTCCACCCCACCTTGTTTTTGTCCATATGTCCTTTATACTTGTTCCTGCAAATCCTTCCCCCCTTCCCCTGAAATTCCCTCCCCTCCCCGCTCTGGGCACTGTCAGCCTGTTCTCTATTTATGTGGCTTCTTACAAAAGATTAAAACCCTACAGTATTTTATAGTCACTTCTCACATTTTCATTCAGAGTTTAGAAAATTTTAATTCCATCTTCAAATTTTTTTATATTGTGTTATAGTGTTTCTTAAATTATTTCCTTATAAGACTAGCAATAAAACACAATAAATTGTTAACAAATCTCTTTGAACAACACTGTAAACCAAACATTATAGACCTACTAGATATCTATAGAACATTGCATCTACAAACAAAAGAGTATACACATACTTCACAAGTGCACATTGAATATTCTCCAGAATGGACCATATGTTAGGCAATAAAATGAGCCTCAATAAATTTGGAGGGGTTGACATCATACAAAGCATATTCTCTGACCACAATGAAATTAAAGTAGAAATCAGTAATAAAAGAACATTTAGGAAATTTAGCAAATTCATGAATATATGTAAACAAACTCATAAATAACAAATAAGAAAAAAATCACAGGGAAATTAAAGGATACTTTGAAAATGAATGAAAATGAAAACATAGTCGGCTGAGCATAGCTCTGAGAAATGAAAGGTTGCTACTTGGATTCCTGGTCAGGGCACATGCCTGAGTTGTAGGTTTGGTCCCCAATTGGGGATGCCTACACAAGGCAACCAGTGGATGTTTCTCTCCTTCTCTTTCTCCCTCCCTTCCCCTCTCTCTAAAAATAAACATATAAAATCTTTAAAAAAAGAAAATAATAACATATCAAAACTTAATATAGTGAAAGCTATGCTTAAAGTGAAATTTATAGCTGTACATTCCTACATTAATAAAAGCAGAAATGTCTGAAATAACCAAAACTTATACTTTAAGAAGCTAGAAAAGGAAGAGTAAATTAAACTGAAGGAAGCAGAAGGAAAGAATTAAGATTAAAGTGGAATTAATGAAATAAAGAATAGAAAAAAGAAAAATCAATGAAACTAAAGTATTTTCTTTGAAAAGATCACAAAATTGGCAACCCTTTATTTAATTCATCCAGAAAGAGAAAAGACTAAAATCACTAAAATCAAAAACAAAAAAGGAACCCTGACTACCAACCTTACAGAAATAAAAACAATTATAATGGAATATAAGAACAACTGTAGGTAATTGGAGAGCATTATGCCAAGTGGAATAAGCCAGTCAGAGAAAGACAAATACCGTATGTGGAATCACTCATATGTGGAATCTAATGAATAAAATGAACTAACATGCAAAATAAGAGACAGACTCATAGATAGAGAGCAGACTGACAGCTGTTGGGGGGTACGAGTAGGGGCCTGGGTGGAAGAGAGTGGGAGACTGAGCAAAAATAAAAAAAGAGAGAAAAAAACTCATGGACATGGACAACAGTGTGGTGATTCCTAGGAGGTGGAGGACTGAGGAATATGGAGGAGGGCTTAGGGGGGATAAATGGTGATGGAAGGAGGCTTGACTTGGGGTGGTGAGCACACAATAGAGTATACAGATGATGTGTTGTGGAATTGTGCACCCGAAACCTGTATATTTTGTTAACCAGTATGACTCCAATTAATTCAATAAAAAAAGAACTGTATGTAAAAAATTAGATTATTAGATGATAGAAACAGATTTTTAGGAAAACACAAAGTACTGAAACTAACTCAAGAAGAAATAAGAATCACATAACAAAGAAAGATTGAATTAATATTTTAAGACTTCCCACAAAGAAAAGTCCAGGTACAGATGAATTCACAAGTGAATTCTACCAATAATTTAAAAAGATTTAACATCAGTCCTTCACAAATTCTTCCAAAATAGAAGAGGAGGTAACAACTCCCAAATCATTCTGAGGCCAATATTTTCTTAATACCAATGCCAGACAAAACATTACAAGAAAACTACAGACCAATATCCTTTATATATAATTGCAAAAATCCTCAAAAAAATATTAGCAAACCAAATTTAGAAACACATAAGAAGGATTATATACCACAACGAAGTGGGATTCATCCCAGAAATCCAATATTGACTTAATATGTGAAAGCCAAGCAGTGAAATATACGACATTAATAGATTGAAAAATAAAATCTATAAAATCCAATAACCTATCATAATAACAACCATAGGAATAGAAGAGAATTTCTTTAATTTGATGAAGAACATCTGTGAAAAGCCTACAGATAACATCACACATAACTGTAAAAGACTGAATATTTTCCCTTGTAGATCAGCAACAAGTAAAGGATGTCTGGTCTTGCTGCTTCTATTCAGGAATATACTAGAGATTCTAATCAGTGCAATTAGGCAAGAAAAAAAACATACTAAATAAGGTCTTGTTATGTGGAAAAAAATTTAAAGTTTGAGGGTTGTAAGGGGACTAAAGCCATTGTTCTTTTGTTTCTCATAAAAAGAGAGGAAATACTTCATTGTTGTATAAAATGGTAAACTTGAAATGAAGCCAGCAGAAAGCTGTGGATTTCATGTCAAAACTAAAAAACACTTGCTGATCATTGAAATACAAATGTGAAATGTGATCTGTAAAGACATGCATGCTAGAAATATAATGGCAGCAAGTAAAGATTTTAGTTTCTTGAATGACTTGGTTATGTCCTGACATCTGAGGGAATTTTTTATGGATGAAACCACCTTGAGCCAGCTGAATTGCAGGAATGATGACTAGCAAGAAATACAAGGCCTTTCTCAGCAGGATTCATAAGAAAATCCAAGTCTATAAAGTGATCTCTGCAAGTTGACAAATAAAAGGTAAGAAATTTCTTTAAAATGAAAACCATTCCACCAAACTGAACAATTTTAAGAAAAGGCAGGCAAAAATGGAAATGTAGATGGATAATAACTTATTTGCATAACTGATAACTTTGTGCATGGTAGCAACAAAGAAAGACCAAATCTTTTATCTTAATTCCTAAATCGGTGAGTAGCTATCATAGGAGACATCTGTTCAGCAGGCTACACTTAATGTTTCCAGTGAATCATCACACTGCTGCTTTTAACAAGCTATATAATTAATGTTATTAAAGATAATTCAAAGCATCTATTCAATAAATTGCAGTTAAATAATGCTATTTTCCTCAGTAAAGGACTCCAGGCAAGGTGCTATCCTATACTTCATGTCAGATTTACCTATCTTCTGGTACTAGGGTAGTAAATAATTGTCTTTCCACCAATCAGCTAATCTCCCATTAAAAAAATAAAATCAATGCTTCATGTGCAACAGACTAGGAGTCAACCAAGAATATGAAATTGTTGTCTACTCACAGTCCACATCATTCACTGCTGCATAAATAAACAACATAGACAATGAAAGATACCATGGAATATATTTCAGATCACTGACATATAAAACATACCCATGTGTCCTATCAAAATAGTGTGAATTTATACTGTGAACAGCAAGTTGTGTGGGTGGTTTCACTGGCTGGAAAAGGCTCAAATAATGATACAGCTTTGAATTTCAGTTCCCAGGGACTCACTGCATTTTAATTTATCTGTCAGCTTCATAGTGAAACACTCTGCTTTATGAAACTAAGTGAAGAAATGGTGTGCAAAAGACAAAAGGGGTTAACCAAGTTACATAGATAATATCATGGTGGAAGCCTATTGGGACCTGTGTAATATCCCATCAACATGGAAAACCTACAAAATAAAAGTCAGTCTAAAGCTACAGTTTTCTGGTACAAATCTCTCAGGATTTCCTCTTTGTGCGCGCAAAAATTCTTTGAGTAATAAGATAGAGACTCAAGTGCATGGAGTATATTATCAAAGAGTATGTGTGCAAATATACAGAAATAAAAACATTCCTGAATGAAAGAAGCAAATAATAAGGACACTGATTCAAAAGCTTCCAACTTAAGAGCCCTGAGTCTATAAGACCCAAGATCACTCAAGACCATTCTCGTTGAAATGAATAAATCTAAAGTGGAGTAAACAGAGCAAGTGACATTAGGAGATTATTTTATTGACAGAGAAAGCTTCACGAGCTTTACTTATCAGGTACTCTAAAAGTAAAGCATGACACAGCATGAGAAACAGATAAAACAGAAAGAAAAATTAGGCCACTGTGAAGTGGACAGTAAAAAGGTAAAGCAGAGTTAGAGGCCATGGCATAAAAAGAACAGGGCAGATAAAAGAAATCCCAGAGTTATTCTGGAGGTATATCAATTGCACTAAAATGTGGGGGTAGAAACCCAATTATATTTTTAACTTCTAATCATATGATGAAACAAATTACAGGATTATCTATATTGTATTAATATTCCATTTCTGATTATATTTATGATTTAAAGAGTTTTTGAGTTTTGGGCAGAGAGTCGATTTGCATTGCTAAGAATAAAACATTTCAAAAAGTGTAGTTTGTAAGTAAAACAAAATTTTAAAAAACCCCTGAACTATAAAGTGGTAGAAATGAATGTGTTGCATAAATTAGGTAGTAAGAGAAGGAAGTGTCACTAAAAAAGCTATGAAGCTGTAAGGTCCACTTCAGATAAACGCCACTGGTAAGAAATCAGTGACATATACCATGACCCATCATTGTCTTGGATAAAATGCAATATTTACATTTACAAAGTACAATTCTACAAAATGGACCAAGAGCCATATAATAAAATTCAGTGTTTACCATAATTTGCAATTAAATGGATAGCTCGATGATGTCCCATCTCCTGAAGAACCTGTAAAAGGTCACCGATGGTCTTGTTTTTCTGTGCCCAGGACCAAAGTAATTCTCTTGTTCCACTTTTACCTTGGTCTACATATTTTTCAATGTGACGAACATCCAGCCAGCTGCGTGAAAGTCGCTCCGCTGCAGGAAATTGCAATAGGAAGAACCAAAGAATAGTTCATGTTATTAGAATACTTGTTTTGGTGCGCCTTATGTGTTTTATTCAATTCTTTATAGTTTTTTTTATTTTAAACTAAGTTTAATTCCTCGTCCAGTTTCCCTTAATACTAACATCTTACATAACCACAGTCCAATGATTAGAACGAATGATGACTAAACTACAGACCTTATTCTAATTTCACCAATTTTTCCACTGACCCTTTTCTCTTCTAAAATCCTATCCAATTTCCCACATTGCAAATAGTTGTTACTTCTTTTTAATCTCCTCCATTCTGGTGCTTCTTGGGCTTTCCTCAACTTTCAGGGCAGGAAAATTCTGGTAGGTCTTTTTTCGTGCATAATATCAAGAGGTTCATGATGTTGATGTCTTATCCACTGGTGATGTTTATCTAGATTGCTCAGGTAAAGTGGAATCTGCACTATAAAATTATCTTTCCATTTATAATTAATAACCATGCTGGGAGAAATACTTCAAGACTATGGAAATACCCTATTTCTCCTCAGATTTTGCCCATAAATGTTTGCATCTATTAGTGAATCTTGTTTACCATGATTATTACTCTGGTATTTGCTTAATTGTGATTTTTCATTTTCCTTTTTCCTTCTATGTTCCTTAACTGGAATTCTCCTGTAAGAAAGTGCTGTCTCTTCTCCCCCACTTGTTTAACTAATTTATTTATTTACTTCAACATGGATTCACAAACATTTTTTATTCTGTAGGTTAGAATCCAATGCTATCATTATCTATTTTGTTGTTAAAATTGTTTCAGCTTTATCTATTCAGGTTGGCTCCTGTGTTCTTTTGAGAAGCCCTATCATTTTTGCAATATTTCCTTATTTTCTGGGTTACAAGATGCTGGAGGCCCATTTTGTATTCTCCTGCCCCAGCCCTGTTATTAATTACTTTTCCAAGAAGTCCAGCCAGGAACACTGAAGAGCCAAGGTACAATTCTCCAGACTCCCATCCCCACCATAGCAGTGGTAGAAGCACATGTTGATAAGGGGGTGCGTTCAGACCGAAGCAGGCTGGCATGCTGGATCACCACATGGAGGTCAGCTTTCCTGGACTCTCAGTGCTCTTCCCATGAACAAAAGATAAACCTCTTTCATGTTAACCACTGAGATTTTTGTGGGGTTTGTTACTGCAGCATAACTTAGTTTATCCTGACTAATACACATAAGTTTTATCTTGAATTTTCTGTTATTGCAGCCTCATCTTATACCAGAAAAGAGTGAAAGGGAGTGGCAGCTTTTGTGAGTAGATATCAAACAAGGGAAGATAAAGTAGAGATATTCAATTTGAAAGTGTGCTTAAAGCTGTAGAGGCAGAAACAGCTACAATAAAATGCATGAATCATTAAGTTGGAATGTGTATGCCCTTATTTCATATTTTAACTTCTAGCAAGAATATATTCGATCTTCATCTTTGTTAGGAGTTGATGTCTCACATGAAGAGGCAAGGACTATCCAAATGCTAATATATATTTTAATAGTTTATCTTTAAAAAAATAGAAGGGGGCCTTTAGAGCAAAAAATGGAAACTAATGTATTTCTTTTTGATAACATAATCTACCTATTTGGTTAAAGCACATTTTTCATAAACACTACCTATTTCTAAAATTTCTTGGAGGAAATACTGCAAATCAGTGTAGTAATTGCATGCACCAAGTGTGAGTGGAGCAAGAAAAGGGGTCCCTAACTAAAGGTGGGGGCATCATGGAAGGCTTCCTAGAGGAGTGGGTTCTAGAGCCTGAGCCAAGTTTAAAACTGTGAGTATTTCTAAAGAGAGGCCGATTTTTTAAAGGAACTATTGGATAGGGTACACCATCCTGGGAAGAAAAAAATCACTGGAGTTTAAGTTTGAAAAAAGACAAAAGAATGAACTCTGAGCCTCATGAACTATACTGTCTTCTAAGGAGAAAAGCTGCTAGTCAAGACAGCATTGCTGGCCTCCTGAAAATATGTAGGGACATGTTGGTTTAGTGGTGGCTCTGCCATTGACCTGCTGTGCAATTCCAGACAAGTCACAGCCTCACTGAGCAATCTCAAACTTCTCGTTAGTAAACGCCTTTTGAAGTGATCCCTCCCAAAATATACAGTAAATTAGTCTGCCCTTCCTTGGCTTCCTCATTACATGAGCATTGACGTTAAAACCAACATCCCCAGTCTTTAAAATGCTTCTAGTCTCAAAACTAACATTCCAATGAAGTAATGCTAAATATCAAATTTCAGTACAGGGAAAATTTAGGTTTCTACTTTTTCTATTGGTAATGAATTTGGCTAATATTTAGAGAGTACTGGGCATAATGCATCATATACATCAATAATATTTATATAGTATCTAACAGGATTCTTTTCCTCTCTTTTTTAGATAAAATAGTTCCCTCTACACTTTGAATCTTTGGGATAAGACATGCACATCATTTGATGGGGGTGAAGAAAGAAGATGGCCTCATGGGCTACCAGTCAGGGAGGGAACATGAGGGTGATGGGACCTCAGCTGCTTCACTGGGTGGATTGGGGTGAAGTTTAAATAGGCTGAGTAAGGAAAGGGCCTGTCAAATGGGGAATTGTTCCAGAAACAAAGAAGAGGTCATGAGAGGGCAGGGGAGAGACCAGTGCAGCTTACAGCAGAGGATCTATGTTAAAGAAAAGGTGAGCAAACTTCATGAAGTCCCCAAGTTACCTTTGTAAGAATGTGCTCAGCACACAGTAGATGTTCAATACATATTTGCTGAATGACAGAGAGGGTCTCTGAGTGTTAGCACAAGTTAAACTTTATCCTGAAAGTAGATGGGCCAATCTAAGATTTCTGATGCAAAGATGAAGCTTTACTTTTTGGAAGATTCATCTGGTAGCAACAGTAGCAGGAGGCTCATATACAAGATTTGCACATAAAAAGGTGTAAACATTTTCTCACAGGGGGAAAGAAATGATTTATAACTATTAAGGAAAAAGAGAAGAAAATAGAGTGTAATATTCTAGAAGTAAAGAACTGAGTTAACTTTTGAAGTCCCAAGGATGTCAGATCTCCCACCTTATTCCATCCCCTGTTTTTCCTTTTTTTTAAAAAAGTTCTGATTTTTCCCTTTAGAAGTGCAACAGGCCATGAGTGTGCTCTCCCATCCTGTGACTTGGCTGAAAAACTGCTAATATAAAATGCTCTTCCTTAAGCACATTTTTGAGATTTAGCTGGTAAGTAAATGAACAGATGCCAAAAGTGCTGGGGTTTTTAGTTCCCTAACACTGACCAGGGGCAAGGAGTTCTGAGTTTGCACTAAGTCCAAGGACAGCTAGATTAGGCAAAGGCATTTTTCTAATAAGAATAGTTCATGGTGTGAAACTGAACTATTTTTCAGTTAAGATGGATTCTGCATGCATGGGTTACTTCCAGGACTAGAAATGAAATGTATTTTCTCTTTCTCTAACTACTGATTTACGTGCAACCTTAATAGGTTTTGTCCAATGATGATACATTCTGAATATAAATACCACTACTGTATAAAGCATTATTAGCATCCATAAAATGTATAATTCATTTAGGTTGAATTCTATAAAACAGTACCTTCAGTTTGATGCAAAAGGATGCTAACTCTTGACCTTAATTATATTCCTCAATATTCCTACTTTCCTCTTATCCTTTGGTATTTGTCCCCTCCCAGGACGTACTACTTTGTTTATTCACAAAACTAAACAAATAAAGAATATAAGGGGACTAAATGGTAATGGGAAAATACAATAAATTTGAGCAATAAAAATAAATAAATAATTTTAATAGGAAAAAAGGAATAAACTTCTTTATGGTTGTATTGTTAAAATTAACAGCATTGTAAATGAAAAGATAAATTAAAAAAATATGCTGTAGTGAAACATTGTTTAAAACCACATTTGGAAGGCAAATCTTATGTTTGAAAGGCATCTTGGCATAATCTAAGCCAAAAAGTTGACTGGAGAAGTTCAGAGATTAGTTTATCTGAAGATACCCATTGCTTAATAATCACTCAGTGGTTGCTTAATAATCACCCAGTGCTCTAAGGTGCTCAAAGGCTCTAATTGGAGAGGGCAGGACTATCTAGGTAGTGCTAACCGCTGGGGAATTCAGCTGCAGAAATCACTCCCCATATGCAAATATGTGTCTGAAGGGGTTTTTTAGAATAACGCAACACACCCCTATTTAGGTCTTTTTTATTTGCATTTTACCACGTGCTAAAACCCCTAGGAAATTAAGACTGCAGTCTCACAAAGTTTGTTTTGAGATAACATAATGGGAAAAAGAAAAGATGACTCTCTCCCTTCTTCCTACAAAACACAAAAAATTAGGCTGTTTTTTTTTTTTAAAGGAACATTTAAGATTGAAGATATTTTTAATTCCAAAAAGAGTAAAAAATTTTAAACTGTAAGTTAATTCAACTCCTTTTTCCAGACCATAGCATCAATACCCACTAGCTAAGAAATTTTATAAGAATTAATACTAATCCATACTTAAGCTTATGTGTACTTGTTTCCCCAATACCTGAATAGGACTCATAACTTAGTAACTGGGAAGTGCTGTGAGTGATTTTTCAGGTATCCCCCATCTCTCCTGTTCTCTCAATCCAAGACCCAGGTAAGGATCTAACATTACCTCTGGGAAAGAATTTAAGAATAGTTCACCCTCAACACCAATGTCTGGAACTCAGAATCCATACCTAGGTAATGATCAGTATTTTTTACCCTCACTATCTTCCCTTGTTAACTTTTGTATAGCATCTGTGTAAATCTGTTGCCTTCATTAAGTTGGAAAAGCCTCAGAAGCAGAGACCATGATGTGGTACAATGCTTTGTCTCAGATTCTGCCCAAGAAGGTTTTTTTAGATGACAAACAAAATTTATTTTATTTTTAAAATATATTTTTTATCTTGCCAATTCTTTTTTTTTTTCAAGTACAGTTGTCTCCATCCCCGCCCCTCCCCCCCCCCACC